TCCCAAATCTCATTTACATTTTCACACAAAGAAATTTTAATGTACTCACTAGGTGCTAATGCACAAAATAATGCATTCATTGTTTTGGTATTGAGTTGTGCTATCTTGATATCATTAATATCTCATTTGCTTTCTTGCTTAATCACTTCTCTATCTGTAATCCTCTTCATTGGAATTTAAGGGCCAATGATAATAACTCTCCAAACTTTATAATCATTTGCTTGAATAAATAATCTCATTCTTGTCTTCCAATATGAGTAGTTATCGTTAACAAAGAGAAGAAGTCTTACAATGGAATGACCTTCACCACCGAGAGATGTAACAACATTTCATTTGCCATAAATCACACTTCATGTTACTTTCCATAATTGTTGTAACTTATGGATGGTTATTTTTTATTCATCATTATATTTCTTTGGGCCATTTAGGATCACTTTTAAGTTATTAGACCTACAAAAAGATAGTACTAGCTCTGATATCAATTGCTATATCAAAGATTTGAATTAAACCAAAAAGGGGATAAATTGGTTAATTATAAATTTTGATAATTTGAACACCAATTAACATAATAATTACAAATATCAATTTCTAAACAAATAAACACAATGTATAAACACAATATAAACAACTTGAAATGTAAAGAGGTAGAGTTGAAAAATTAAATTCCGGTATTTATAGAGATTTGATCTTTCCTTAAGGCACCTATATTCTCTCTCTTAGTCTCACTTACCAAGGAATCCAATCCATTGTGTGTTGAATATTATAATCTAACTCTTCAAAGCTCTATACAATCAACAACACATTCTTTTAAGGGTTATCCTCCCCTATAAGCTCACAAACTCAAAATACAAGTTTTGAAGTGTTTTTGCAAACTCAAAGAAACACTTTAAGATTAGGTGTTTGCAAATTTTAAATAGAAATCAAAGTTATAGTGAATGGAAACAATAAGTTTTCTTAGTTCTTGATAGCTTTTAATGTGGTGTGAGGCCTTACTTTATATGTAGAGATTGAGAGAGAGCCGTTGGTTTCATTTAATGCTTGGAGCCTCTACAAATCAACAAAAAAATATGACTATATAAGTTTATCAAGGTTGAACTGGTCGATCCTTTTTTGGAGGGGAATGGTTGGTTCTAGCTTTTGAAGCTAAAATGCATTTCATTTAAACATGACTAAATCAATCTTGTATATGGGTTGATAAATTGGTTTTCAAAATTTTCAAACATGCTTTGCTTTTATACAAAAAAAAAAAGGATCAATTAGTCTAATAATAGGATCGATTGGTTTTTTGAAGTTTTAAAGTAATTTTTTCTTCTGTTTGAAAAACAATTAATCCATATAAGGGAGGGGATTGATGGGATCATAAAACCCTTGAACCAATTGATTGGTCAGATGAGGGGATCGATTAGCTTTTATAAAACTTGCACGAAAATATATTTTGAACAAAAATGGATCAATTGTGTGTTTGAGGGGATCAATCCCTTTCGTGTATTTTTGGTTAAAAATGTTTTTAAACCATGGAGAAAGATTGTTTTTGTTCCCAAACAAACTTAATAAAAGACTAGAAAAATATTTAAATTAAGTTCAAGACAATTTTAATTTAATTTTAGCAAATTTTTGTTTTGTGATTTCAAAATACTTTATCAATTCAAGGCTAACATATTGAGATAATCATAATAATTGGAACTTATATGGTAAATTGATTTAATGTTTAAATATTTTACTTATTAATTTTTGAATTATTAACAAATTAATATTATTTTATACTGTATAAGTTTGTATAAACTAAAACAATTATTTTACGACAAAACAAAAAGTTATAATTATTTGAAATAAATAATTATTTAAATGATCATAAGTATTTGAATTTGTTTAGTAAACGTAGTTATCTTTTAAATATTATACTTATTAAATTTTAAATTATTAATAAATTAACATTTTTTATACCGAGTAATATTGTATGAATAATAATAATTGTTTTATGATAAAACAAAAACTCATAATTATTTGAAATAGATAATTATTCAACTATTTATAATTTTTTTAAATTTGTTCATTAAATAGATTTATCTTTTAAATCTTTAGCTTATTAATTTTAGTAATATTAATAAATTAATATATTTTATTACAAATAAACTTGTATAAAGAGAAACAATAATTTTATGATAAAATAAAATGTAATAATTATTTCAAATAGATAATTGATCAAATATTTTTAACTATTTGTACTTATTCGGTAAATAAATATATGTTTTAAATATTTTATTTGTTAATTTCAAAATATTAACAAATTAATATTATTTTATTATGAATAAGGTTGTATGAGCAAAAATAATTATTTTATTATAAAACAAAATATCATATTATTTTGAAATAGATAATTATTCAAATAATCATAACTATTTGAATTTGTTCAATAAATAAATTTATTTTTAAATCTTTTACTTATTTCTTTGAAAATATTAATAAATTAATATTATTTTATTCAAATTAAGCTTGTATAAACAGATATAATTATTTATGATGAAACCAAAAGTCACAATTATTTGAAATATATAACTATTCAAATAATCATAACTGTTTGAATTTACTTTTTAAATGAATTTAGTTTTTAAATTTTTTACTTATTAATTTTTAAAATATGATTATTAATATTATTTAATTTCAAGTAAATTTGTATGAATAAAAATAACTATTTTATAATAATACAAAAAATCATAATTATTTGAAATGAATATTTATTTAAATAATTATAATTATTTAAATTTATTTGAAAAACAAATATATCTTGTAAATATATTACTTATTAATTTTTAAAATATTAATAAATTAATATTATTTTATTTTAAATAAATTTATATGAATATAAATAGTTATTTTATAATAAAATAAAAAATAATAATTATTTAAAAAATAATTATTCGAATAATCATAATTTTTTGGATTTATATTTGAATTTATTTGATAAATGATTTATCTTTTAAACCTTATTCGCTTTCTCATACTCGTAATTGAATTAATACCCATGCCTAATTCAAAACAATAAGTATTAGAATGTGATTAAATTGATTAAAAAGATAAACCAAAATAATGCTTTTGTAGAGATGAACATCGGCGCCGAAGATGTCATGACGGGACTCAAGAGGCCAATTGTAGTAATTGAAGAGGACTCTCTTGAAAAAGAAGTCGACGTAGTTGGACCGTAGAATGTTAGAGAGCCAAGCCTCAACGTCGGCGATAACATCATCGTTTTTGAGAGGAGAGAAGAAAGGGAGAGGTTCAACACTTTGAAGCAGGTAAAAGAGCTCGAGCCTCGATGTTCGATATTCATTCCAGGAATTGAGTCTGGACTGGCTTCAAGCCTGCTAGCGCTGCCTTCGTCATGTTGTCTCTTCTTTCTGTTTGGCTATCGCGTCTCTGTCAGTGAGAGATTCTTTTACAGAGCGAATTAGGGTTTGCCTACGGTTTGTATATGCGACAGGGGAGGGATTTATAAGAAAGAGGGGAAGGTGTCGGAGGCGACAGACTAGAGTCGTCGGCTTGAGACAAGAGTGGCAGGCGCCGGCGAGAGGCACAGAGAAAATATGAGAGAGAGAAAATGAGAATAGGGGTTAGGGTTCTTCAAAACATTTCACAACTTTGAAGCAGATACACTAAATGAACATATATTTCTTCTATTTAAATTATCTTACATAATTATATTATAGTAAAAGATTAATATTTATTATACATTATATGTAATAATCAAATAATAAATATTTATTTTAATAAATAAATTAATTATTTTATAATAAATAAATAAAATTTTTTAACAATGTGATTTGATGTTATGATTTAAATAAAAATATATATGATGACATAAATATTTTATATAATTTTTTTAATATATATTTTTTAATAATTAATTCTTTTACCAACATTTATTATCTAATGAAAATTTTCGTTGTAAATTTTTTGTGCCAATATTTTTTATTCTCTTCAAACATTTGTCAATAGATTACCAACGAATTATTATTCATCGAAAATTTTTATTGATAATTATTTATTTTTTTAATAAATGTAGGTAAACTGTTGATAATTATTAATAAAAAAATTTAGTGACAAAATTTAGTCTCTAATAAAAATAATTTTGATAGTGTTCTACATTTATTTTTCTATCTTTTACCCAGTAAACACATCTTAAAGAAATAAACGAATAAATGTCCTGGGAAGGAAATAAAAGTTAGAAATTCCTCTGAATTAAGTTATATGAATAATTGAATATGATTGTTACTGAATATGTACATATGTGGAGTTGTTGCTAAAATAGTAAAGGTTGCAAGATGCAATTAGAGACGATAAATCTACCCGAATTCATCGATCATCAGTTTTGGTTTGATCCAATCCTATAATTTTTTTTTTAAAGAATTAAATTTCAAATTAAATCAAAATTTTCTTTTAAAGTTGACATTAAATCAAAAAAGGATTCAAGTAAATCTGCTCCAACCGATTATATTAATTTAATAAACTTATTATATTTAAATATAATTAAAATATAATTTATATTAAAATTTTATAAATATTATATTAAATTAAAATTATTAAATTAATTTTTAATCAAATTAATTACAATTTTATAAATATACAAATCGAATTAAAATCGAATAAAATTTTATGAAATTGGGTCGAATGAAAACCCGTTCATCACCTCTGATTGCAACTTATCAGATCCACGAACTTGTCTTTAATTTAGAATAATAAAATTGCTCAGCTCGACACACAAATGAAAAATGCCATTCCAATCCCATGTCATTAATTTTTCTCAGTTTCATCGCAGAACCAACTATATCTTTTCTTAGTTTCTTCACACTCCGTACTCTATACAAGAATTCTTTCTTTTGCGTTTTATTTAGATCCCATCACAAGTGAATCCCATGGCATTGATCTCCAAAACATGCCACTGCCACTATGCCACTATGTTGGTGCGAACACCTTTGACATTTGACCATACTGACTGATACACCTTAAACTCTAAGCTCTCCTGCAGCTGCTGCTGCTGCTGCCTGACCACCATCAATGCTATTATGATCTTCTCTACTCCTTCCTTCAAACTTAATATATTTATACCGCTTGGTGCATATTATGTAGACCACAAGATCAGCCGTTGTCAAAGCTGCTAACAGGAAATAAAATCGGTCCATATGACCTCTGTTAAGGTTTTCTGGGATCCATCCAGGCATATCATCTCTTGTTGATATTTTCATTACAATTATCACAAGCAAGCTACTCACGTAATTTCCCAGTGATATAGATGCCATGCAAAGTGCACTTCCAAAGCTCTTTAACCCATCTGGTGCCTGCCCGTTAAAGAACTCTAATTGACCAACATACATGAATACCTCCGATGCTCCTATAAGCATATACTGAGGAATTTGCCAGAATATGCTCAAAGAGCTCGCATTTTTACAGCTCGGGCAGTCTTTGTTTGCGTGCTTTAACCTGAAAAGCTCTACAAGTCCTGCTGACACCATTGCCAGTATAGCTATAAAAAGCCCAATCCCCATTCTCTGGAGCTCAGTGAGGCCCTTTGGTTTTGTCTTTATTCTTGAAACAATAGGGTCAAGAAGTCGCCTATAAATGAAAATGAATATTGCCACGCTGAGTATGTCAAAGCTAGACATGCTCGCCGCCGGGATGCGGAAGTTTGAAATGGTAGTCTTCATGGCAGCTCCTTGTTCTACAAAGAGTGATGCCATTTGAGCGAAAACCACTGAGTAGAGTATGGTGCATAACCAGATTGGGAGGAGTCTCAATATGCATTTGACTTCTTCAACTTGTGTTACTGTGCAGAGACGCCATTGATTGCGATCATCGATATTTTTCTCCTGCTTAGCATAATCAGTGGGTGTCATGATTGCTGCTCTATCCAAAAACCTGAAAACATGAATATGAACCTGTTGTTAATAAAGTTGTCTTGACGGTCAAGTTGATATAATTAGCCTTTCAGTTAGAAATTTTTATCAAGTATTTTTTAATTAGAAAGTACATGAACAATTTTTGAATTAAAAAGAAAGCACAGGTACCTACCTGAAACCTTCTGTGTGGAGTATCTTTCTAGCCCCATTCATGGCAGATTCCATTTTGTCTAGTTCAAACAAATGCTCTCCTCCTGGCGTCATCTCAACCTTCCATTTTCTTGTTGCAGCAACCAATACTTGGCAAAACCTCGAGAGAGGGTTGCCCTTGGGTTTGAAGTGCCTATACCTGGGTGTCCCAATCAGAAACAGCACTAATGCCATAAAGGCACAGCCAGTGGATGCCCAAAATCCAAGTGTCCACATGCCCTGATCTTCAAAGTAGCCCAATATAGTGTTTGAAAAGAGTGATCCAAGATTCAAAGCCAAGTAGAAGTAGCTGAAGAAGGCTATTTTTGAGTGCCGTTCTTTAGGGTCTTCCTCGTCAAACTGATCAGACCCAAATGTGGCGATGTTAGGCTGGTAACCTCCGTTTCCCAGGCCTACGAGGTATATGGCAAGGTAGAAGAACAGGATATGGAAAGCGGAGTGAGATCCACATGGAGTGTCTTCATCACCGCAGCCGCTAGGCTTGAGTAAGAATACAGAGGATGAAATTGATAACAACACCAAACCCTGCGTTATAACAAACCGGCATTAGAATTCTCAACTACTGTATGGATAAAAAAAAGGACTATATATGTATGTACATGAGAAAGCTGAGTGGAGTTGTTTGTAACTTACAACAACAAAGACAGCCTGGAATATGGCACAAGTCTTGTACCTTCCCCAGTAAGAATCACTAAGAAAGGCACCAAGCAGAGAGAAAATGTAAACTGTCCCAGTCCATTTGCTAACGTTGTTGGCAGCATCTGCGTTGTCCTGGCCCAACACCCTCGTTAAGAATAATACTAGGTTGACCCCAACTCCAAAGAATGCCAATGTTGCCAGCCCTTGGTTAACTGATGAAAGAGTTTGAATTGAATGAATTGTATTTTAAATTAACGATTGTTGGTTAGAGATTTCATCTACTGTGACTGTGATTAGAAGAAAAAGGAATCTTGGATAATAGACATTCAAAAAAAAAAAAGGATAGGATAGGATGGGAGGGGAGCGGAGCACAAGCTACCAGCGCAAATACCGTGTTCAAGTGTAATTTGTTTACTGTCCAGCAGAATTAAAAATGCGATTTGCTTGCAATGCAAGAAACTTTTTTGCACAATTTTTTCCCCGTGTAGGCACAAAATATGTATATATAGCTTGCTAACGCATATAAGCCATATGCTATGAGTGTGTTCTCAAAACTCTTCCAGAATTATATTATATAAATTTAATGCCGAGTTAATACTATTTTGAAGAATTCTAAAAACATAACCCGTTCGGTCCATACATGCATGTACCTGCTTTAAGTATTGCAGTGTAAGCATGGAGAATTACCTAGCAGTAGAATTCCAGTAATCCAAGTTCCAGTTCTGCCTCGAATAGCAGGATGACCATGTCGATCCACAGCTCCATCTAAGGTGTATACTTCTTCCTCCCTTACAATCTTTTTAGTACTCACCTGATAGCTTCAACAAATACAGCTTAACAATTAACTACCTAAAATTTTGTATAATCGTCAAATTAAAGAGGATATATATAGAAAAGAATGACTGAATAAATTAATTTAAAACAAAACTAGCTAGGCATCTTTTCGACAAGTAGAGAACATCAATTCACTGTATTTGCATATATATTGCTACAGTGTCGGAATGTAAACAAGCAATGTTCCTAAGGCAAAAGCAACATTTAATTATTTCTTATTTTAGTAATTAAAATGAAGATAACGTTATATTATCTGAAAATCAAACAATTCAAACACTCACACTAATTATAGAAAAATTAAATGATAACAAATCTTCAGTTTTCAAGCACTATAACATCCCTCATTAAGATAAATTACTAATTTAATGCGCTTCAATTAATCACAATTTACACATATAAAATATTTAAAATCTTATTGTTAAATGTTTATTTATTTACTTATATGGAGTTACCAGTTGCAATCTATAATATATAATATAAGTAATAAACTTTCCCTACAATACTCCAAAATCTAAAAAAACAATTGTTCTAAATAGAGACAAACGCGAAGGTTTGTTCTTCATCTGCGCCGATCCACGGAAGAACAAAATACATACAAGAATTACTAATTATTAATTAACTAATTAATGAAATTCCAATACCACGGTATATTTGAATCATTACTTGTTAAAAGGAAACAAAAAAAAAAAAAAATGGTAGGAAAACCACCGACTTTTTTTGGTCGAGATAAAAAATTTCATTTTAGTGCACTCTACCTTTCAGACCCTATTGTCTGTTTAATTATCTCCTTTAATTTTTCTGACAAAGGTAAAGATGATATCTCCAACTAGAGGCTATAGGTAAATCTTGCATATTGTTATGATCACATAGTAATAGTACACAAAAAATAAATATTTTGACGCTTTGATTTCTTTCATTTGTTGTCTCCGACCCTGACCTTAGAATGAAAATCACAAAATATATATGCATTATGCAATGCAATAGAAGTAAGGAAAGGTCAAAATGGGAAAGCAAATCCCAAGGCAGAAAATTGATTTTATACTTGCAAGGCTAGACTGGCGAGGGTTAAAGTCTTGAAACTAAAGGTTCCGAAAGTGCTGGATTAGCGATTCTCAGCAGACGCCCTGCAAACTCTTTGAAAGGGAACACTCAGAAAACATGATCATCAACCTGATTATTTGGTCTTTCCAAGAAAAAGTGAATGTCGGGTGACAAAAAACCTCCCAAATATGTGCGAGATCCAATATGGACTATGGAGATTTTTCCGGTATCAACATGTTACTTGTACCCAGAAGAAAATTACTTAAACACAGAAATATTTTACTAATTCAAACAGACGACCACATTTCATACTATAATATTGGCAGAAGCTCCCTCATGAAGTAAAGGCCGGGTCATCTGCTTTTATATATATATAGCTAGCTTGTTGATACTGGCAGAAAGAAAAAATCACCAACCTCTTTGCGGATGTTATTTAGACAAGCCATAATGGGTGCAATATCGCAGAAACTAGTATTAACTATCTCACAATAGTTAAGAACAAAAGCTTGGGAGAAGAGAGTAGAGTAGAAGACCAGACAAGAAAAGACTAGGGGGAGAACTGTTTGAAGGCAGTGCGTCTTGCTGTGGCGGGCTGCGGTATATATAGAAGATGGGAGCATTTAACGGACGGCTGACATTTCATGATGTGAACAACAATGGAGGCCTACGTGTATAGGGGGAAATTAGGAAATGAAAAGCAAAGCAAAAAGCTTTGGGAAGCAATAGGCTTGAATCTTGATCTTAGATGGAGGCAAAAGAAAAGATCAAAGAAGCGTGATATTGTTGCATACAGTGATGAGCTGGCCACCAGCTTCACATAATCACATTCAACAATTGCTAACATCAAATCCCCTTTTGACGTAGAGGGTGCTGGCTCTTACCGAGCTGTCTTGATATTGACTTGTTTGGTATTGATACGAGGAAGAATTAATTTATGTTGCGTAAAGTTAAGAAAATTTTACATATTTTTTTAATCATTAATTTTAATAAATTTAAAGATAAGATTAAACTATTTTTTTATTTTACTTTTCTCTCTCATTATTTAGATTTATTCAAATCAACAGATAAAAAAATATGTAAAACTTTTTAAATTTTACACCGTATAAATTAATCATTCCTATATATATATATTAATAGATATATATTTTTAATATATGTAAGAGGAATGAACGTAAAACTAAAAGGATATTATATATGTTTTAACTTTTAATTTTAATTGATCTAAGAGATGAGAGAAACAAGTAAAAATTAAAAAAAATGGTTTAATTTCAGCTTTTCAATCTATTGAAATTAATGATTAAAAATGTGTAAAACTAAAAACGTTTTACACTATATATCCCTTTTCATATATATATATATATATATCTTGGATCTATTAAAATCAATGATTAAAAATGTGTAAAACTAAAAAAGTTTTTACACTATGTATCCCTTTTCATATATATATATATATAAATATATATATTTGGTCAAAAAAAGTTTAGGGGACAAGAGGTTTCTCCAATCTAAGATCAATGCAAACTGTAAACCTAAGAGAAAACTTATATTGGATTTACAGGTTGCCCCCTAATGAAGAATTGGAGATTGTTAGTAATGAAAAATCGAATCTAAATTTTATAAACAAAGTATTGGATCTTAATTATTAATTCAACCAACATTAAATTTTTGTCTATAGTATAAATGATTTATAGTTTGATTATGCTTCCGTTTGCTTAAATATTTAATTGATTTGGGGCTTTTGGTGCCTAACAATTGGTGTTAAAGTCATGTTCAAAATAGATGTGAATGTGCTGACTAACAACTGGTATCAAAGTCATATTAGAAGCAGCTGTAGATAAGATATTAACAACTGGTATTAGAGCAGATGTTCATGATATAAGAAGAGTCAAGCTTAAAAGAGCACAATTGAAGGAGAGAGTTTGAGTTCGTATTTTGAAAGCTGATTTTGTGTAAAATGTGAAGAAAGACTAGAGAATATTATTGTGAGACTTTGGTGTTAGAGTTACGTTCAAAATAGATGTGAATGTGCTGACTAACAACTGGTATCAATGTCATATTAGAAGCAGCTGTAGATAGAATACTAACAACTGGTATTAGAGTAGAGGTTCAAGATATAAGAAGAGTCAAGCTTAAAGGAGCACAATTCAAGGAAGAGTTTGAGTTCGTATTTTGAGAGCTGATTTTGTTTAACATGTGAGGAAAGATAAAGAATATTATTGCGAGACTTTCATTGCATGTGGAACCAAGTATGTCTAAGAACGATGATTTAATAGAATTTGAACGAATGTGGAGAATGTTGGGAATATTAACTCAAATCACAAAAATGAGATTTGTTTGAGATTTTTTGATTGGATAAATATTGTTTAATTGGCAAAAAGACTTGGAAGACAAGAATTCTAAGAAGAAAGAAATTCTTGGTGGGAAAGTTAAAAGTCTTATAACTAGAGGGAGTTTTTATAAGGTTAAGTATGAAAAAAATATGTAAGAAAGTTTTAGGGTTTTACAAGGTAGACACCTTATAAGACTAAAAGAGATTGAAAGGTACAGATTGGTATGTGAGAATTATTGTTTGGTTGAAAATACTTCATAGGACTAAAGAAGAATGAAAGGGTATAAATAGGGGTATGTGTGTGTATGTGTGTGTGAATGTTTGTTTAGGTTGAAAAACTTTATAAGATTAGAGGAAAATGAAAAGGTTCATGAGTATTAATTGCAAGTGTTGATTTAATTATATGTTTGTATTTCTCTACAAGTAATGAATTTTTCTTATTTGTGGATGTAGACAAATTGAGTGTCAAACAACTTTAAATTATTATATTTTATGTGGATGATTTATATTTTGATTATATTCCTACTTGCTTGAATATTTATTGATTTGTAGCTTTTTATACCAAACAATTTATATTAAAACCATGCTTGAAGCAAATGTAAATATGATGTTTAACAAGTGATATTATAGCCATATTCAAAATAAATATAGATGGAATACTAACACATTCAACTTAGGTACGCACAAAATTGCCTAGTAGAAGTATTGATGTTTGATAATGAGACGTGAAAGCTATATATGTGTCTAAAATCACTAGGTTATATAATTGGTTATATAAAATAACTTGTTTTACATGTAAGCTTATATAAGCATTTAATTTAAAATCAATCTATTATAATTTTTGAAAAGATGCAACTTGAAAATAAAATTATAAAAAAAACCAAAATTTAGCAATTAACCTTACTTATAAAAGTCTTTATCTAAATATTTGGTTCATTTTTGAACTTCCAACATTAGCCAAAATTTTTTAATAGTGTTTCTAGACACCCATTAAAAGTTCAAACAAACCAAATAAGTGAAAAAAGGTACATGAATCCAATTCGACATTACTTACATTGGTCAAATAGGAACAAATTAAAAGTCTAGTAATAGTAAGTGGAAATAGAAAAAACTTGCTGTTAGAAAAATAAATAAGAGAATAGAAATAAAAAAAAAAAAGAATTTTGGCTTTAAAGCATGACAAACACTTTCTTAAGGCAATTACGCCTCTAAGATACAATAAAACCTTAAAACTCTCTAAGTAGAAGTAGTAAAAATGGTTATACTAAAAATTTATTTATAATGAATGAACAGACATAAATTTATATTCAAATGATTATAACCTTTTCTATAATCATGACCTTTATGAATAGTAATGTATTTATATTCAAATAGTTATGATCATTTGTTATATAATAATTATTTCTATTCAAACATAATTTTTTAAATATAAATAAAATTAATACAAAAATTAATTTTATTCATTAATAATTAAATCTTTCTATCCATGTAGAATGTACCACATTCTAAACTACCAATGATCTCTTACTAGTTTGGAATGTTGATGCTTAATCTTTAACCTTTCATACAAACAAATATTATGAATATAAGAATGTATCTCTCGATTTAAACTTTCAATTAGTATATATATATTAGAATTCTAACTCTAACAAAGTTGATAGTATCTGTAGATAAAACCTTAACTTCTAGTGTTATAATTAAAGGTATAACATACATAACACTTATTTATTCTTTTGTCAAAGGTTTATAACCCGCTTTAACACTATTATGATCATGTGCTAATCCTATTCATAAACATTTACAAGATGGATCCTAATTCTTCTTGTTGAAGTAGCACCGCTTCTATATTTATATAGGTAGAGTTTCTATTATGTCTCAGTTGCTTTAAACATTTCAATAATAAACTCCATTAGGAGTATAAAAATTCATCCTCCCCACGCAATAGATCACTTTAGTTTCTAAAATTTGATTGAATTTTCTAATGCTTAATAGGCACATAACTGTAACTTATTTTTACCCATTAAACTTTGTAATTAGAGGTTACTAATTCAAAGTTGGGTTTCCATTATTGGTGTCTAATAGTAAGAGTTTAAATCCATTCTACTTGTAATTTTACTAACCAAATATCTTGGAATTCAATTTTCATTTATGGTAATTATTGCCACTTGAAATTAAATATCTAATATAATCATTTTAGGCTAATATGTCCAAACTTTTTATTTGTATATCATTTATACGCTTTAGACATTGTTGTCTCGTTCTTGTTATTTTAAGAAATAGATAGTATTGGTTGTGGCCACAACTCTATACCGATTAATATAAAATTTCAACAATTGTATTTTTACAGTTTTATCTATTTTAATACAATTATTCTTCTAGTACAATTGAATAAACATAATGAATAAACCAAGCCATTTTAATCCTTTTAAAATATTTAAGGACCTTTATGATTTTACTTTAATAAGTTGTACTAAACTTATAGGTTTGTATAATTTGCTCATAAAATTATAGTAAAATCTTAAAACACTATGGTGGTAATTTTTATTTCATTTGATTTTTATCACATCCACCATGTGCAAATTTGTATTTTTTATTAAAAAACATCCCATTCAATTATCAAAATATCATATATACTTAATCAAATTGTCATTTCACTTATCTTTCATTATTTGGTAATTTTTTTTATAAGTAGGAGACCTCTAAATCCACCCTTAGTGAAATATAGCTAATAAATATTCTATATCTTAATATTTATTTTTCATGAAAGTTCCAAAACTTTTATTTCAACTCAATATGAGATTATGCATTAATAAGTATGGTACCAAATATTATCACCCTTAAAACTAGCAAATTCATGCTTTCTATAGTTTCTTTTTTAGACTTTCATTCCAACTCTTAGATACTTAAAAATTATTTGATCATGGATACCAAAGCCATATCCACCACAGTTCATGCCATTAAAAACAATCAAAATTTCATGTATAACCACACAATACTATAAATATTGTGTCCAAATTATAAAATATATGAAAAATTTTTTCACCTAACAAATAGAAAGCATTTTAACTAGTTACAAATAATTACATAAATTCTCCAATTGAATTCAAGTTACCTTCAATAATAAGTTTATTTCTTGTTGAAACAATATTATAATTAAATAAATTGAATCATGCATTATTCTTTTATCAATAAAATACAATCATGGAATATGGATCATAGAATATGATTTTATGATAAGAACACATAAACTTGTTTCTTTTTTGAAAAGATTTGTAAATTCACATTTTCTTT